AAAGTAGTCTCCTTTATACACTTTGCCTATATAGATAGGAAAGTAATAAAGTTATAAATATGAGGACTATATGAGGACAATATGAGGAATACATAAGACAATCTAGAACTTTGGTTGTAAGTTCTATGATTGAATACAGAAGTATAAAGATAAGGTTAGAAGTTAATAAGGATAATTGTCTCCTAAACTAAGTCTATTAAAGAAGACTTAGGGAAAGATTTATAACATTAGTTGTCAGTTCTAGGGTGTACACAAGACAGTCTAGAACTTTGGTTGTAAGTTCTAGGGGTAGTACAGAAGTACAGCCTTTTATATTACAAGAGTCATAAGGAGTCATTAGAAGTCATAATACTCTACCTTATAAGAAAGTGTATTACAAACTAGTGTACAGGAAGTACAGGTTGAGTCAGACAGAGTCATAGGAACAATAGAGAGCTCTACTTCATGGGAAAAGTATTACACAGCTTACACAGCATAACTAGTCAGGAGGACTTATAAGGAGTCATTAGAAGTATGAGAGGAAGTATAAAAAACATAACAATACAGTAAAGGAGTCATTAGAAGATTAATCTAGAATACAAGAAGACACAAACTAGTGTCAGCAGATTAATAGAAGACACAAACCAGTGTAGCATACAGTCTAAAGGATTAGCCAGCTCTACTTCATGGGAACAACAGTGAAGGGAGTTACTAAAGTTACTAGAGTAACATTACTCTAGCAAAAGGTATATAAGGAGGCCAGTTTGGCCCTCAAAAGATAGTTTTATTAACTTAAGTTACCTAGTACTTGAAAGTACTCTACTACCAACCTACTAGGCTACACTTGCAGCTTGATTAAAGTAGGACTCCTTTACCCTCTCACACTACAAGTTTACAAGTCTTACCCTCTATACTCTATTCTGTTACTATTCCTAAGGATTAGGACTAGTAAAGTGAGTATATCTTATACAAACTAGTGTATTTACTGTCTACCAGAGTTATTGTTCAGATCTGAGAGGATCCTAAGAAGGGAGCTAAAAGGACAGAGACCTGAAGCTAGTATTTAGAACATTCTCAGATGAACTACTACTTGTTCTGAAGGGAACATACAGCTTGTACAGCCTTATTGTCTAAGAGGGTGAGTATATACACTAACATTTCCTTATTAACCTCTCTCTTTCAACAAGGACAGACTCATGTCCTTAGCTGTAAACTCAGCTGAGACTATTCCTACTTAATACTATAGACAAACTACTGAGTAGTGAACAGGGCTAGGTAGTGTTCTGAACATTCTGAGATCTTAGAACACAAATATAGTAGGTCAGATTGTACAGATTTAGACTCAGATAAAGTGTGAAGAGAAGAATCAAAAGAATCAGAAGGAATAGGAGAACTATCTACTTTTGTTTTTAACTTTTTTCTTTCTAATAAATAATTTTGTTGATTTACTTTTTCTACTTTTTCTACTTTTCTTACTTTATTTACTTCTAATCCTACAGTATCCATTAAATCAAACATAGCTATTAAAAAATTCAAGTCATAGTTCTTCAGTACTGTATTCACTGTTAGGCCTCTACAAAATCCTAGAGTACATAGTCAGGGTCTAAGAGTTCTGAGATGACTTCTGGATTTGTAGAAAAGGCTTCTTACTACAAATCCTGCTTGTCACTCATTATTACTCTAATGACCTAACAGATATACTGTTACTTTTGTAGACAGTCCTTAATCTAGTACTCTAACTTTCTGTAAGTAAAGTATACTCCTTACTTTTAGGCTTCTCTAATGTTTATTAGAATAGATTGATTGTGAATTATAGGCAGATTGATTCAAGAGCTTAGAACTGTTAGAGCTAGACACATGTGTGAGTGTTCTACACAGACTTAATACATCCAAGCTACAGCTTAGTCAAAGGAAATGGTGTGTGTCTTCTACTCAGTGTAAGTGACTAGTTCTAGTATTATTCTAAGAATCTTATCAACCAGTTCTGGGTAGAGAGCTTTTTCAAGCATTCTGATAAGAACATTATTGAACCCAAGTATGAATCCTGCTTTCTAGGCTAGGATATCAAACTCCTGAAAGAAGGTATTAGTAGAACATTTGCTCTGTTACAGAGATACAAGCTTGTTCTACATATTACACTTCTTATTCAGATTAATAAAGGAAGTACAGAGCTGCCTTATGAATTCTGAATATGACTCATTGTTCTAAAGTTGGATCAGGCTTCTGATCTAATATCCTTCAATCCAGTTCTAAGCCCAAGTGACTGTGTTGCCTTCCTTCATAAAGGAGAGGACAAATAGGACACAATTAAGATCTGAAAATAGATTAGTTGAAGTAGTAGCCACATATAGTTCAACTTGGCACTAGAAGTCCTCAAAGTGTTACCTATTAAAGTCTGAAGGGTAGGCTACATACACTTTCTTTCTAGAACAGGTTGTAACTTCTGAAACAATTGGAATAGGTTCTGAAGGGGCTAAAGGTATGTAGTTAGTAAAGGCCTCTTGAATAGAGGTCTACACATATTAAGCTAGTTCTGCTTGTAACTACTGATCTGGTAGGACAGTAAGGGTGGTAGTTAGTGTAGAAGGGTTCATGTTTACACTACAAAGGAATCAGTACTAAACTAAAAGGGGTAATGAATAGAAGAAGGGTGGTAAAAGTTTAAAAGGGTTTAGAAAGTTTAAAATTTAAAAATGTAAAAGGGTCAGGACAAAGAAAAGAGATCAACACAACAGTGAGTACTAATGCTCAAAACATAAGAGAGTTGTAGAGTAGTAATAGGTAGTCTTAATCTAATGTCAGTAACAGTGTAGAAGGGACCCAAAGGCTTAGCAAGGGGACCCAGGCTACAACTATCCTACACAACAGAACTATAGAATGTAAGCACCAGAACATAGTCAGAACTCATAGAACAGGCAGAGAGAGTGAGTGAGACAAGAGTAGAGTATATAGAGTAAGCCTAAGAGTACAGGACTACCTAGAGTAGACAAGATCAAGACTACAGGACTAGTCTGATCTTGTATGCCTATATATACTAAACTACACAAGAGCACTCAGGGAGCATGAGCCACTAAGAATGATAAGCCACAAAGAATGAAAGAAAGGAAAGGTTAAAGATAAAGGTACAAAGAATGAAGGGATGGACAAAGGGTAAGAGACCATAAAATGAACAAAGAATGAAGGGGTGGTCAAAGGAATGGAATGATGAAGTAAGGAAGGGTAGTAGTAAGAGTCAGCACACATATAGTCCATAGACAGTGCCCCTGAGGGACAGAAGTCCTGAGTTCCAGTATGGAAGGGTGCAGAACCCTTGGAACTGAAGGTATGAGAGTGGAGAATCATAACACATACCATACCTGAGTGAGATATGTAAGAGAATTTAGTGCTTGCTAAAGCCCTCTGTATTGCTCTATTGTTTAGACTACAGAGAAGTTCTTCAAAGTCTTTACGATTTCTCCGTTTATTACTTAGTGCGAGCAAGGTATGATAAAAGTTTTCTCCAGAAATGAGCACAAATGTGATCATTCTGGTTACGTCAATTCTACGGTATTCTACAGAACGTTCATGATTTGCTTACACTATTCCCCATATGTCCATTCCGTATGAATATTGCTGTAAACAAAATACCTCGGGAGCCATGTACAGTGGTGTTCCAGTCGGTGCTTTTTTCTCTAGATTGTCTATTCGTATTGCACTGGCCACTGTCATTAACAAAGGATGTAACCGGATTATTTCATGACGTACAAGCCGAAATCTCCTAGCAGAAGTTCATCGTTGGTGAAGGGTGTAGATGTCTGATACGTACGTTTTATAAATAAATTCTGAGGTCTGTTCATGACTAGCAATGAGATTCGTCAAGCATGCCATTATTAGACTTACTTGATGTCTCTGTGGAGAACTCCTTTTGAGTGAATGAAGCTATCGCCGCAACTAGCTGTCTTTTCATGTCATGGCGGATTAGTTTTAGTCTACTTCAAAGAAGGTGTATTGCCTCATATAATGCGCTGCTGCTTTTTCTGTAAATTGTAACGTGTTTATGCAGTTCAGAAGGCGATCGTATAGTTCTCCACCTTCTGCAACTTCGAGAACAATGACCCACAAGATCTTGTTTTCAAAAGCTCCATAGCACGTCAACTTACAGCTACTGTAAACCAGGCGAATGATATGGGCATCATTCAACGAGTGAGACGTACCACATTTCTATGTCTAAGCTCAGAAAGTAGCCGTGCTTCGCGTCGCGTGAAATCCTCAACTAACGCGTCCGTATTATCTTTCCTTCTAGTTTCATTCCCGGGCTTCTTATTATTGATGACTATTTTCGTACCAAATTCTCTTCTCTTTAAAGTTATTTTTGCGGCAAAGTCTTTTTCCACGTTGTCGGGAAAATCACTTCGTTCCACTCGCTATAGATCGCGAATTTATTATCAGTAACTTGTCCCACAGTATATATATTCAAATGATGATGGCGCATATCTTCTAGTGAACTCAAACTTACAGAGGTCGAAAGTTGATATAACTCACCCATACTGTGCTGAAATTTCCCTTGCAAAGCGGTTCATCACCCTTATGTTTCAGCTTAAAGGCACCGCTTGCGTCGTTCAGTGGCATACACCAGCCGGGGTGGGCCTTTGGAGAGTCGGGATTGCTCTGGTCAAATGGGATTAAGTCCCGCAGCAGGTACGAACTTGTGTCCATGCGCCAACAGTCTGAATGCCTAGCTTGTCGAAACTGCACAAGGCTGGTAACCGCTGACAGTTCTAACGGGGATGATGAGGTGAGGGAACACACCTTGCGTGTACGAGCTTTCATTGCTGCTACGCAAGTTCGATATAGCCACTCTGCACATCATGGAAAAAAGCCTACCAGGAAGACAGTAAGCAAAGTTGTTTTGGGAAAAGCAATACGGAGAAAAATGAGGCAGATTATCTTGACTTCTAGATGTTGATAGTCTTCAAGGGCGTCAGATAATTTAAATGTTTTCACTGAACGTACTTTGCCTCTATCTAAAGTGAGCACTTCAAGTTGACCGCGCCACGCATCCCGTCTCACCATGAAGTTCTCCAACCTTGTTACCTCGCCGTTAATCCTGCTGTCAGACAGGCTTTATCTTGGAAGCATAAGGTGCAGGCTTGACATTGTTCGATGTATGGTCCAGGGATTCGAATGCTAAACTTGGTCTTGCATGCCTAATTTGGCTAACCCGAATCATGTGACCCTGAAGATTCTATTGGCCTTGCTTGCTTGAAACTTGACGAAAGGTGTCTATGCACCCTGCATCTCTACTGGTATTGACAACTTTTTGTCATCGATTCTTCGCATCAGCATTGAGGGAACATGGTAGAAATAACAATCCAAAAGCGGTCGAGGAGTGACGCAGCTGAGACACAGAGGAAGTTTTTCAGGAAGACGGCAAAAGGGAAGGTCCTTAAAGGTGCCGTGCATATTACAGTCCTAATCAATGCATGTTATGCGTGATGGTAATGTCGACTGTAGTGTTAAGAGAGAGATATCTACGGGATGATGTTTCTTGTGGCATCGAGGGATGTTCAGCGTGCTCGCTCCTTGTTTCCTCCTCAAGCTTTACCTCGTCGACCAGCCCAGCCCTGCTCCCTTTCTACGGTATCACGGTCCTCGAGCACAGATCATTCGGTAACAAACACTTCGTGCTGCCCGACACGAATGTGTTCCTGCACCAGATGGATCTCTTCGAGTCGTCACTTTTTACCCCGCCAGTTGTGCTCCTTCAGACCGTGTTGGAGGAAGTAAGGCATCGATCGCTGCCACTTTATGCGAGGCTGCAGGCCCTAATCAAGATGGGAGAAGGAGCGGCAGACGGTCAGGGCGGAAAAAGGATTTGGGTGTTTTACAATGAGTTCCGGAGGTATGTTAACTTCACAATTGTCCATGGAGGAATTTTATGTTTACGTTTGAATATCGATCAGAGAGACCGCTGTCATAAGAGAAAATAATGAATCACCGAACGATAGGAATGACCGGAGTGTGTTTCACTATGTTTCAACCTCTCACTAGTCATACTCAAGCATTGTTTGCATAGGTATTCGTAGAGGAGCAGCATGGTATAATGAACATATTGCACAAACGCACCTCCAACGGCGTTCACAGAAGTCGGCAGAACTTCCTTTTGTCATACTGTTCTCGGATGATGCAGAGAATAGAAGAAGGGCGGAGGCGGAGGGCGTTATATGCGCGTCAGGTGAGTTCATTTCAAGTTTTGATGTACTGTGTAAGATTGAAGCCATCGAAGTGCGACAGTACGTTGAAGGCATGAAAGATGCAGATCGGTTACTCGATTTGCTCTCCGCTGCTGGAGAGACGGTAATCGAACCAACGACATCCGCAGCAGCAAGGAGAGGTCCACTTTATCCAGAGGTTTGCTTGTTGCTATGTTGAAACATGTCCCCACAGTTGACGCTGTTTAATAATAGTATTTGCTACAATCTACGCTCCAAGCCGGTATTCGAACTGGTGATCTGCACCAAGGGCACTTCAATCCCGACCCGTTCAATTACCTCGAAGGGAACGTATCTGTACCTGCATTCACCAAACCCGTCCTGTTGATTGGGAGGGAGAACATGAACAGGGCAGTTCAAGGTGATGTGGTTGTCGTGGAAGTATTTGATGAGAAGGATTGGAAGGCACCCGCAGATGCCGTCGTCGACCAAGAATGTAGGGCTCTCTTCCTTCGCCAAGATTGATTAACTAATAGCATGTTAGCAACTCTACGGAATGATGACCCAGACGAATCTGAGGAAGAAGAAGACGTGGATGCAGCACTTGCAGAGGAACAGGAACGCAAAATGCTTTCTCGTGAGGCCAAAGGATCCCAAACCAAACCATCGGCCGAAAAGCAGCCCACAGGACGCATCGTCGGGATCATCAAACGTAATTGGCGTGCATTTGTCTGCCACATTGATCGTGCCTCTCTCGCTTCCGATGCTTCAACGTCTCTTTCCCTCCAATCTGTCTTCGCACAGCCGGTTTCTCGAGCACTTCCGCGCATTCGCATGCGAACGCGTCAGGCACCTTCGTTACTTGGGCAGAAGATCCTCGTGTCTATTGATAGATGGGACGTCAATTCAAGATATCCCGAAGGTCATTTTGTGCGTGCATTGGGTGCAGCGGAGAGTAAAGAAGCGGAGCAGGAGAGTTTATTGTTAGAATACGAGGTGCCCTATCGGCCATTTGGAAAAGCCATTTTAGATTGCTTGCCGAAGGAAGGTGACAGTTGGGTCGTTCCTCCGAAGGACATTTCGTCTCCGGAGTGGAGGGATAGAGAAGACTTGAGGAACTTCGTCATTTGCAGCATCGATCCTCCCGGTATGCTATATCGGAGGAGTTTTTGTTTTTGAAGATTGTTGATTTTGCTGTTGCGCAGGGTGTCAGGATATTGACGATGCACTCCATGCCCGGCAGCTGCCAAATGGCAACATCGAAGCTGGCGTCCGTAAGTTGTTCAGACGATTTTTGCTGAGGAACTTGCTGACCTTCGTTGTAGATATCGCCGACGTCTCGCATTTCGTACTTCCTGACAATCCGATGGACCACGAGGCTGCTTCACGGGGGACGACGGTATATCTCGTTGACAAGCGTATTGACATGCTTCCGTCTCTCTTAGGGACAAATTTGTGTTCTTTGAGGCCTTTCGTTGAAAGGTTGGCCTTCTCGGTCATCTGGGTCTGTTCCTTTGCTTCTGCGGTTCGATTGCAAGTGTTGACATCAACGCGCAGGAAATAACCTCGGAAGCCGAGATCGTAAATGTTCGATTCTCGAAGTCTGTTATTGCATCTAAAGCTGCCTTCACGTACGAGGAGGCGCAATTGCGAAAGGATGATCCGTGAGTGTTCTTCCGCTCGTTGTCGACAGGCGCTGACCATTTCCCACCAGACATCAGCAAGACGAGTTAACAAGTAGTATCCGGCTCCTAAATAGCCTTGCGCGCAAGCTTAGAGCGGGACGAATGGCAGCGGGAGCACTCAATCTCGCATCTCCGGAGGTCAAGATTCACTTAGACAGCTCTGAATCGTCCGACCCGATCGACGTGGAACAAAAGGAACTTCATGAGACAAATAGTCTCGTCGAGGAGTTCATGTTACTTGCGAATATCAGTGTCGCAAAGAGAATTCAAGAGACGTTCCCGCAGACGGCTGTTCTTAGGTAAGTATTAGACATGTCTGCTCTATACGAATCAGGTAATTAATTGATTTACTTCTTTCCAATAGACGGCATTTGCCACCACCGCATACGAATTTCGAGAAGTTGCAGGATATCTTGAAGAAACGGAAAAACATGACGCTCGATGTTTCGAGTTCCGGAGCGCTTGCGGCATCCTTGGATAAATGCATCGTATGTTTCGGTTTCAAATGAGCTATTCCCCAGTGCTAATAATAATGGGCAGGATTCAAATGAGCCCGCTTTTAACACTCTTGTTCGCATTATGGCCACCAGGTGTATGCTTTCTGCAGAGTACTTCTGTTCAGGCAGTGTAGCTCGGGATACTTTCGCGCATTACGGACTTGCTAGTCCTATATATACACATTTCACCAGTCCGATTCGGCGATATGCAGGTAATCGTCTTACCTTTGCTCATATCCCATTACGTCTAATGTAGCGCGTTTCCGATAAGATGTGCTTGCTCACCGTCAACTTGCTGCGGCGATTAACTATGCGCCATTGCATGCGTCATTGCACTCAAAGTCTATCGTTGAGCGTATACTCAATGTTGTGAACCATCGACACCGTATGGCGCAAATGGCAGGTCGTGCAAGCGTGCAATTCTACGTCGGACTTGCATTAAAAGCGCGTGGAATGCGTGACGGGAAAGAGGTAGAAGTGAGCGAAGAAGCGTTCGTAATTCGGACATTCCGCAATGGTTTGGGTGTTTTTGTTTCAAAGTTCGTCTCTTCTCCCAGCCAAGTTTAAATGCAAAACTCACAATGCTTCTGGTATAATAACAGACTCGGTCTTGAAGGCCTCGTAATGTTCAAACGCGAGACCTCCTTTGATGCAGAAAAGTACACCGTCACAATCCCGCATTCCGGGAAAGATGGAAAGGATGTCACAATCTCCGTATTTGACAAAGTCGTTGTACGAATTTCTGTCGAGAAGGATAAAAATACGCAGCGTGGTGGTGTTAAAATGACCTTGATGGAGCCAGTGGATTCGTCGGGTTTATGATTTAATTTAACAGTTATGAAAGATCTCATTGTATTCAAAACGTTGCATGACAAGAGCGAGGCGGCTACAGCAAAACTATGAAGGTTCGCGTTATTCCTACGACTCTTGTAAGAAAACTATGCTTATTAAGAGTTGTTCGACGGCTTGGATGGCTGTCCTTGTGGCTATTTATCCTCGTGGGCCGTGCTGGCAAGTAATCCTGTTCCGGCGTTCGTTCCATCTCCCTATATGACTTGTCAGGACAGGTGAACTATATGCAGAAAAGGAAACAACTGACAAACATGTTGAGGGGGAAACCGGGATCGAACGGAAGTATACTTTCAAGGTATTGAATTTGTTCATCGGAGAGCAATTGAGAGGGCCCCGATATTCGCCATTAGATACTCAACTTTTCGGCCACCGATAATTGGGAATACATATGGCGTCTTCTGCATCACGTACGCTATTGCAACGGCGGTGATGTGCTTTGCTCCCGCCTTGTTCGCGACTTTCTCAAGCGCTGCACATTACTTCCTCTCATTCTCGTTGCGCTTCCAGTCAGGCGTGAACCAATTGCGTCCGTTCTCGCCGGAGGCTTCTCGTTCAGCTTCTTCCTTGTCTGTGCGCAGCCTGCCACCCCATTGCGCAAGGGCGAGTCCGCACTAACGAGACATAGAGATATGTCACACTCTAAGCTACGTTGCATGATGTTCCATGCGCCTTGATAGATGGAGAATGGTGTCTTCCTGCTTGCCTTGGCGTACTGGTTCACATAAGAGACGAGCCAGGCAGGCGTGTCAGAAATGCCAAGATAGAGTACCTTTCCTGCAGTGACGAGGTGATGCAAGTTATCGATAACTTCCTCAACAGAAGTATTGCAATCTCACCCGTGAACATTAAGGATGTCAATGTAATGTGTAATGTGTTTCTTTCGGCTACCTTCGATGCTTGTTTTGAGACATTTGGTATTGTTTCCCACATGATTAGCTTTGATTTTGATATCGTCACCACGATTATAGAATGAGGTGTATTGAGGCTGAAGGAATTAGTTTGCACACTCGTATGTACTAACCCGTTTTTACTTGCCTTCGTAGCAATTATGAGCTGTTCTCGAATGCCTCTCTTCTCAGCCCATTCTCTGATGAACATTTCAGAAGTCTCGACTCGACTTGGAAATCAATGACTATCAGTATGGTTTAATCTCTTACTAATTGCTCGCGGTGTCGATGAAGTTCCCTCTTCTCATTATGGGCGTCGAGAAGCTTGACGGAGATTTCTTTGTCCATCGCACCAATGGCACCACTTATCGCCAATGTTCGCTCTAAATTGGAGCGGAAAGACACGCACGGCTGGGCGAAGGGAGGGGGGAGCACACGATAGCGCCCATGAGGCGTGGGAGGTAGAGGAGGGGCCTGGAAAAGTTGAGACATTCTAGAGTCGACAAAGCAGAAGAGTTCCCAGTACTGAAAAGACTAGAGAAAAGTATCCTGATTTTATACCATTAAATTAGTTTTCGACTGTACAGTGAAGTTACCACTTAACCATCCTGAATAGGAACCAATGCCTTATTTTGGGAACATGAATCGAAGACACCGGTTCCGAACGTTCAGAACCAAAGTGTTGACCGTGCCAGAGTGGATGCATGTCAGACATGTCTAGTCGGCAGAAGGAGCTTGACCTGAAGGAGTGTTGTGTCCTTGCATGAACTTGCCTGCCTAAGCCCGGTAGTAAATTATTGTGAGGATCGAGGCGTGGTCATATTCCTAATGGGCCGAAGACTCTCAAAGAATGCATGCCGACGCGCCAAAACATGGAATTCAAATGTTCTTCTCCGAGCGACAAACAGCAGCATAATCAATCGTGCAAAGAAACATCCGTTCTGTTGTTAATGAAGGAGACCAAGTGGGAGTCCATGAATTGTTTATTGGCAAGGACACGGTGGATGCAGTTCCGCACTCTCGTGCACAACCATCATTGCAAAAAATAAATCAATTCAGCCTTTAAGCGTCAGATAAGCCAGATGATACTACCAGGCTAGAAGAATAGCTGGGGTGAAAGGACGCACAAAGACCAGGCTTGTCATCTCAACCCGAGTGCACAACTTCTGATCCTTGGACAGTCCGTAGTATGGAAGGATGAGCTCTGTAGGTTAAAGAGTTAATTGTATTGAATACCTCGTGATTTAACACGCTGATGCGCTGCTCTCTCGTTGAGAATACAAGGCGACTCGGACACGGTAGACCGTAGTTCTATATTTGAGCGAGTTTGTGTTATTACGTCTACGGTCTATTGCATAACGATAGTGACACGTGACTTCCAAATGTTGGGATATCAGCCTTATAAATTTAATACTGCGCAATTCTCCTTGTCCAAATGCGATCAAAAGCAAAAGAAGGCTACCATTGACTCGCTTTATCTAGAGTCGGCGTCAATGAAATAGCTCCCGGATATTCCTTTCGTAGAACAGACTCTCATAGTCTTCACAACTGACAAGACTAAGGTGAATTTCTCGTGCTACATAATGTACACATCAAGTTCAACCGAGATTTGCTGGTCGGATAGGCTGTCTCGGAGGTACTCTGTCTTCCTTTCCAGCATCCGCGGTTAAGTGTTCCAGAACGCGTGTTCCATCTCCCTAAAGAGCTAGATCAGAAATGTGAAGGAACTGCAAAGGGAACGGTTACGAACAAAGATCCTCTGGGGGAAGCCAAGATCAAACGGAATTATGCTCTCGAGGTAGCTAATCTGCTCGTCAGAAAGCGAGATTTTAAGAGCTTCGATGTTCGCCATCAGGTGCTCGATCTTGCGCCCGCCTATGATAGGAAATACGAATGTCGTTTTCTGCATAACATACGCTATGGCTACAGCAGTGATGTGTTCCGTGCCTATTTCCTTTGCAACTTTCTCGAGTGCCGCGCTCATTTTCTTTTCGTCTTCGTTTCTCATCCAGCCTTCAGGCGCATACCACGTCCGACCCCCTTCACCCGAGTCTAACCTCCTCTTCTCTTCTGCATCCGTGCGTAGGCGACCAGCCGACAATACATTCCAAGGCGCGAGAGCAAGACCACACGTCCGTGCCATGGGAATAATGTCACGCTCAAAGCTACGGTCCATTACATTCCATGCACCTTGATAAATCACGAATGGTGTTTTGCCGTTGGCTTTGGCGTATTGATTTGCGTAGGAGACGATCCAAGCTGGCGTGTCAGATATACCGAGGTATAGAACCTTACCCGCGACGACAAGATGATGCAGATTGTCCATGACTTCTTCGATGGAAGTATTGAAATCCCACCAATGAACATACATAATGTCGATGTAGTGAGTCCGAAGCTTCTTGAGACTGGCTTCTACACTGATCTTGAGACTCTTTGCATTATTGCCCATGTAGTTGATTTTGATTTTGATGTCATCGCCGCGCTTAAAGAGTGTGGAGTACTGTTTTCAAGACGTTAATTTTTCTGTGCACGTGCCTGAGTTATGATCCACACCTTTGTTGCAATCACAAGCTGATCTCGGATACCGCGTTTTTCGGCCCATTCTCCAATGAATATCTCGGACGATTCTTCCTGGCTATGAGACAAATCAGTCCAGTGAAAGCCTTCAAACAGATTGAAGCCTTTACTAAGCATTGGCGGTGTCGATAAAGTTTCCTCCGGCTTCATAATATGCGTCTAGGAGATTGAAAGATGACTCCTTGTCCATTGCTCCCATGCCGACTTTGGCCCACTCGTCTCCGATGCTCATGCCTCCGAGTATGAGTGGTGAGACACGTATTCCGGCCAACGGTGACAGTACTCGATAACGACCAAGCGGTGTGGGAGGCGGAGGAGCAGGTGCAAAGGACATCTTGCAGCTCTAGCGTTGTTTCGGGGAGACGAAGCTTAGAGGGAAGGTTCGTTTGGGCGATCGTCTTTTATAGCCCATCCGCTCGGCAATGAATCTCAGACCTTTAGTCGACATTACGAGGGTTGACAAACAATGAATGACAAGTGGCTCGCATACGTCTCCCCTCGGCACGCATGAAACAGGTTAAATCGCAGTTCTGTTCTTCTTTAATTCCAGGCTTAGAACACTTTATTGTGCCAAGCGCTGCCACTCCCTCATATTTGGTCCTCTCGCGCAAGTGGCCTGCTGGGCAGAGAATAAAATATTTACTGCAGGCATTTCGGGATTAGACGGTAGATGCCAGACCGCTGCAGGGAAGCGCAAGTCCAGCAGAAACGATAAGAGCAGTTGAGTGTCTCGAATCACCGGAGTAGAGAACCAAATGGAGGAACTGCAACTGCACCAATCCATTTTTGTAATGTAATACCTGGCTGCTCAGCGCTCATCATGAAATGCACGACCAGATTGACGAATGTTCAGATTACCACGACCACTGTTGGATGATATAGTTTACAAACAACAAAGACTGATGACGGGCCAAGTTTGCCGTTCGCCGACGGGATGACGTAGACAAGCGACTCTGACCAGCCGAATAATCTCTTGAATCTTGATGCTGGATGGGTAACACATCAACGAAGAATACGAGAAGTCCACAGACAAAGCGGCCCCGAGTCGGATATTCTGGTCATGATATTGCTGAGTAGTGTGCCAAGGTATAGACAATATTTTAATATCTTGAAAATTAGGTTTGCGCAAGATATACAGACTGTTGAATCTGCCAGACGGTCGCACATTGCACAAGCAGTATTGAAGCACGTTTTGGTCATGTGAGACGCTGTAGCTGGCCGATACGGCGAAAAGGTACTGGAAAAAGGATTCAGTTCGATAAAAATTTCAAATTAAAAAGAAAAAGTATAGGGTAACTGGGTTGCGGCATCTGGATTTTACTTTTTAGTTCACATACCAGGACACGTCAATAAATGTAAATAACGCGCAGCGGCGGCGAGCACACGCGTCGAACGGCCTGATCAGCTTCTCAAGTTCTATCCCGTCATCTTTCCCTCCCCCTATGAAATCTGACCAGAATCGGAAGGAATGAGGAAGCCTCGAGGCCCATCGAATATGCCCTACTTCACACCTTCTGCAGAGTATGACCATCGTCTTACTAGTACCACGTCTGACAATCTGAGTTTCTGGGCTTCTCATTGAACCAATATATGCTGTAAAAATGACTACAGACAGCATTCGCTCTCATTCTCCAGACTCGCGGATGGAAAGTATGGATTTTCTCCTGGTATGTATATTCTTTAATGAAAACCGTGCTTTGTCGTAGGTATGAATCCTCGCCCGAATCGTATCCCATCGCAGCAACCTCGCAACGATCGAACGAAAGACGAGACGTCTTCCAATCCGAAGAGAGACTTTAAGCCACCTCAAAATGTGCAAGCGACGAATTTCCAAACTGTCAAATACCGTATGCCAATAAGTGGGACATATGTAATCGATCCAGGCCTCGAGATGCCTGCCGATCTCATCGTAGACAATCCTACGAAGAAGTCCAACCTTACTCTTGAATGTGGAAGGGGAAGTATCGCCGCTGATATTTGGCTTGTGACGGAAAGTATGTCTCAGCTAGGCATCAGGAATGATGCGAGAAGGGCAGTGATAGACGTCCATTGCAAATCGTGGTTAGGTAAAGTCGACGTTCAGCTGGTGTGTAACTCTTCTTCGGATAGTCACAGGAAATTGTCTGATGATGAATTACATTAGTTCAATACCTCCGTTTACCCGTTCACACTATCAGCTTCATCTAATGGTGGTGACATCAACATCGCACTCCCTTCGGACTTCGTGGGACCGGTAACGCTCAGCACCGGCTCAATTTACGATAATCTACGTTTGAGTTCTTTTACTCCATTCGCACCATCTGCAGAACGCGAATCAAGCTCGGGAACGTCCGGCCACTCTGAAGTACGAACGGTCCCATTTAGCACGTCATTCGAATTTTCCGACGCCGTGAAAGCTCGTCTCGTAACCTTTTCAGAAACTGGCAGTGCAAGGACTTGTTTCATCGGCAACTACAGGTCTGCTGGATACAGTAGGTCATACTCTTATATTAACATGCAAGCATAATAATGTGCATGTATGACATATAGCGAGCAGGAAAAATTGGTCTGGATCGATTGTCGACATTCAAAGCTCGTTTGGAAGTTTGAAGATAAGCTTTGTTGGTGAACGTCAAGTTATGGGGCAAGCAGGTGGTTGTATGGTCATGTAGAGCAAGAGATCTCATGAAATATGTTGCAGTGCCTTGAAATCTGTCTGCGATTTTGTTCGTAATGTTTCTTTGTCATGCCTGCTATTGTGGAACTGGAATGAGACCTGTTTTCCATCTCGTTATGACTTAACGTTTACGAAGTGACGACTGGCTGTATGTTAACAGTTTTAGCAGCGGCAAGAATCTGCCATATCAAATTGGATATAGAATGTAGTGCGTGTCGAATATGAGCAGGCATGAATAAACTCATCAATCATATAAGCACTCAGAGGCGAGGTTACGCCTTGACTCGAGGATTTTGAAAGCAAATACAATGCAAGACAGATAATCAAATACAAAGCCGGACATAATCTTCACTCCCGTCTATCATCAGGTGAGGGTGCACCCGTCGCCACTGCTTCTCGTAAGCACCGACTCATAATTTCCAAATATGTTTGGCTCGATCGCCAACTCCTTCCCGCGAGCTCTTCGCTCTGTGGAGTCAAAACATTAGCCTGGTTCCGATTTCGATCGCAGAGATATGCGGACACATACAAGCTCAATTCCATCTACCTTCTCAAGAATTTTTGTTAAGAAAGCAGAGGCTTCCGAGCGGAATGATTGCACGTCAGGCATAGAAAGGAAACGAAGCGTTGAGGTTTTGAGATGCGCCTGTGATGCTGATAACGATGGTTGGGGATTGCTGAATGGGCGTTGTCGGTCAAACGTGGACCCTGACGGAGCTTGACCGGACGCATAGTAACATAGATGCCTCCAGAGAAGATGAAGAAGAATTTCAACAGTTGCTGTGATGTAAACTGTTAAACTTTGTACAAGCCTCAAGTACAGCAGACCTTACACAAGATGCTTTCGACCTGCGCCCTTCTGGATGCAATTGATCGTTCGAGAATCCTACAAACAAATGCTCGACGTTGATTGATATCAAGCTTGCGCAGGACATCGGGTTCTACATCGTCGACAAGCTGCAGGAAAATCGTTCAGACATATTGATATATAGTCAAGAAGCGACTTGAAATATACCTCTTCGATCCGGTCAACCCGAATGTGATCTCGACGTTCCAGCTCCGATGCCGCGTCTACTATCTCTTGCATCGTCCCGAGTAATTCGTCGCAAATATTATCTAGGAAATCAATCGCGTCTTTGAGACTCGGCAATGCCACTTGAAAGAGAAACAATTATTAACTTGAAACGAAAAATAAAATAGTCCCAGTACGTGCCTGCTACACCAGATGTTCGCTCATCGCGGGGTGTTAACGTGGGTGAAAGGACGACGATTAGTTCAGCATCTGTGGGTTGTTATGAATTGAAAAACAGTCGTTCCGATGATCTGATACCCTACCTAAGATACTACTTGCCACTGATAAATAGTTCACGGTTGATCTTCGCAGGCTCTGGGTTACTTGACGAACCCGGTGATCAAACTTCGAGCCTTCAACCCCGTACTCTTCATATATGGGTCAGTTCAACACACGATAAATGAATATTGCAGGAACATACCAGAGCCACGCATATTGGACTCAATCGCTTCAGTTTCATCAGAAGGCCGAACCAAGCTCAACCATCTCCCGCTACCAAGTATTCTCGCTGCCACGGCGAGGATTGCATTGTGCAAGCTCCCGAAACCAGAGTTCGTCGCAACCTTAACGTTGCATGATTATATTAGAAATTTGACATTCAACAGAACTCCAATACTTACGAAGTCGGTCTGCGGGACAGACGGCACGACCAGAGCACAAAGAGAAATTATCAAATCCAACTCTTGAATCGACGAAAGAGCGAATAGCGATGCATCTTGCTTGAGCATGATTACCAGCGTATCTCTGTGACTATGAATAAAGTCAAGAATCTAGGATTGAATGGTTATTAGTACAGGTTACAAGCAAGAATAAAAAAGTCTACCTGTTTCGATACCACTGCATGTTTGGAGCCCAGAGTGGCAACTAACCCAGTGGCTAGCTGTAAGGCTGGGACGAAAAGTTGGTGATATCGACTCAGTGTAGATGGCAGGAAGCTGTCATGATCTGTGCATTGTTCAGCCTTAGATGTCGTTCTTCGATTTAGTGTACATACCAAGTGCCGAGTCGCCCGGTTCCGGTCTTGAATCCAAGAAATCGACATGTGAGAGAACAGGAAGAATCCGACTCTCCAGAAGCCTTTCGGAGCCTTGCCGACTCTGCGAAAGCCGGATGAAGAATGTCACCTTTGTTTCGTATACGTAAAGAGGATTAAGATCATCTGGTTCTGGTTGTAAAACATCCTGCAAAGTGGAATTTGCTTCCCCAATGCTGTGCACGAAATTTGACAGTAGGCCATATCGATCAAGCGTATTGAAGATGCTATTTCTGGAGTCGAGGTGCGACATTCTCGTTAGTGATTCAAGTAACGTGAATGCTATGGTCTTCCAAACTTCAGTCCCGTCTATTGCATCCTTTGAGATCGTCGTTATGAGGCGCTCCATGACAGGCTTGATAACAGCGAAGCAATTGGCTTCAAGAGATGTAGAGTGCCCATTGGCGTGCCGGACGTCACTCCCCAACAATGATAGTGAAGACGTTAGATTCGATAAGGACGCCTCTCGGGACAAACCGATATGCTTGGGCGGCGCAGGATTACCAGGCAAAGGAGCAGCCAGATGAACGAAGTTAATCAGGGCAGCGTAAAGATTTCCTCGCACAAGGTCACCTCTATGACTCTCAAGTATACAATCCAGAATATGACGCAATAATGCGGCCATCCGTTCAACAGGCAAGGCACTTGATTCCATTGAGTCGGATGCGGACAGCAATTGCACCTGCTTACGCTCTTCTCTGAGTTTTGTGACAAGAAGGAGCAGGGATTCGGCGAGAAGCGTAGCGGACGATTCAGGAAGGGCGTTGTTGTGGATCGCTGGAGGGACTACATGCAACAGGTCGAAGAGGATATTCTCTCGCTGATCATGCGAGATACGATTGAAGCACTTAGTAAGTACCACGTCTAGAAGTTTTTTCCACGATTCATATCCCAGTCCGAGAGCAAACTGGACTTCACGTCGGTTATTCTCGACGACGCAGCTTTCCAGAACATATTTAGTTTCCGCGTCCAGTTGTGCGCTGTGGAGGGCATTGACGACCTGGCCTTGACGCACCAGCACTCTACGAGCGTTGCTTAGAAGCTCAAACAGTGCGGCGCGATCAACAACTTCACAGCCACTTTCATCCGTACGGATGCAGGATTGAAGGTTTAGTGCCCCATAAAATTGGAGGTCGACAGGCGTGACGGTGACACTGTCATACCACTCAAATTCAAGCGACTGGAATATTTCAATTATTCGTATACGTGATTGGCCAACGTCATTGAATGGCTGGAACATGTCGTGTTCCCAGTCGGTCTCCGGCCCATGATACGTCTCAGTAGTTCCAAAAAGTAGATCGAGAAGCTCCTTTACGCGCTGATTCTGCCCTTTGTTCGTCAAAACATGCAATTCCAGTGAAACAAGGTCAAGCAACCAAGAATGTAATTGTAGAAAAGCTTTTGCCGATGTGCATGTTGTCACTACACGGGAACCATCGTTGTATGCCACCTCGATGACTGGCGCTCGATTGTCAGTAGGCGCATGTACAGCCATTGCAGCCAGGTGACGGGCGAAGAAGTCTTCCCGTGTCCGCAAGTAAAGCATCATCGGTGCACTCGTCCGTGGATGTTCACAAAGCTGGTATACGAGTTTGTACAACCTCTCGGCAAGGACAGGCTGAGACTCGAACAAAGGTGTCTTTGCATCGTAGCGTTCTCTGTCCCTGCTCTTCTCGGTTAAGCGAGGTATCCCTCGGTTCAAAAGCTTCAGAATGACATGCAAGCATAGTTCCCTCGAGCCCAGTGCGTGCGGATCTTGAACCTGACCGTCTGGTGAGGTCTTTCCAAACAATAAGAGAAAAGCGAGTGAAGAAGATTTGCTGCGTTTTGTGCCACGAAGTAATAAGTCCAGGATCGCCAATTGAATAGCTTGAGCAAATAAGTCCTGCTCTCCCTCTAAATCCGGTGCTCCAGCGCCTGTCCAGAGATCCGCCCATTCCTCAGCATCACTGGCGTCATCCGTGCTATCGTTTCCTAGTAAATCTACGAAGCCATCGAGTATGATCGTAGATTCTTGGCTTCGTTCAATGAGAGAGGCGATGCTTTGGAAAGACGGCGACTGGGACAAGGAGGACAAAATCTTTACGGCCATGTACTTGATCTCCGAGTTCGTCAAGCAGGTCGCGTATGACCCGATGGCAGGGATGGATCTGCGGTCAAGTGAGAGGCCCTGGCCGATCCGGGAAAGGAAGCTCTGAGAAACTCGTGTACCTGCAATGACGATATCATCAAAGTCCGAAACAGCGGGTACGAGGTGGTCAAGGAAGAGATCCTCGATTTCGAGCACTCTGTCCGCAATTCGAAGTACTCGTAAAATGACGTTGATAAAACGCGATGTTATGGGTTGCCGCGGCAGTTCTTCGGCACCTTCTACGACATACGTGAGCAAAGTTGTTCGAAGCTGCGTTTCGGAGAGCATGCGGCTAAGAACATCAAATCCTGGGTGATGCACAAGGGGAGTAAGGACCTCTGGACCCTTGATAGTGTACTCCTCCGCCAAGCCTGGTAGCGACTCCAAATCGTAGCTTGCAAGGCATCTTTCGAGGAAACAGAAGGAGAGGTCGGCCATTTTCCATGAATCCGAAATGGCCAAGAATTCACGTCGAGGGAGCTTGGCCAGTACATTGTCCACCACGAAGCTAACGTAAGGTCCGATTCCAAGTGTTCGATATGGCTGCCCAAAATTTTCGGGAACAGTGTTTACAGGCTCGGGTTCAGTAACTCTGTTCTTAAGGGGCACACGCTTCGGAGTGTGGATCAAGGTGCATAAAAGTTCGAGGAATGCGATGGTCGCTGGATAAACTCGGTGAACAGACTCCACCTCCTCAAGCTCAACTTCGACTCCTTTGGATGCAAAACCCCCACCTCGTACGTTGATGACCTCAAGCCGTTCCATCTGCGCCCACACATTCTTGCAGATGTCTACGCCTTGCATGCCTGCACCTGGGTGACAGAATGCTGAGAGTGTTTCGAAGATAGCACCCTTGAGCTCAAGTGGGACACCGAGCGGAATGAGCGAAACTAAGCAGCTGATTGTGCGATACTGAGGGTGCGTTGCGATAGCAATGCGTGCTTGTACAGAGTGTTCCGCAACAGCGGCAGTGAATTTGAGGAATGCGAGTCCCAAAAGCACATCTGTAGGTGCGATTTGTAATTGAGCAGGTGCCACGCCGTGCTGAGGACGTTGATTTGTGCCTAGTGCAGACCAGCTTTCCAGCTCGCCGAAGATGCTTCTCCATGTGAAGACAGTTGCTGCTTCATATCGCCTACTGTCCAGCCCAACGCCATGAACGACATCCAGAGATCCCATTGCCATAAAGTTGTACGCGCATTCAGCACAGGCAACTCCAGTAGAGAGACCAGCAAGCATATCGAATACGCAGATAATAAGGTCCGGTTCGCGTACTTCAACTGCCCATCTAAGGAAGGATGGTAGTCTACCAGTCTCTGCTTCTGTGACCTCGTAATATTCGGGGAAATCCGAACGTGGGGCGCCTCCCCAGAATTGAATTGCGCTATCTTCGGGCAACACAGAATAAAGTTGACCGAGCAGTTGGAAGAGGATCGCAATATCGTTCCGTGGTGGAGAGGTCTCCACACTAGGCTCAGTTGGCCTATACCCACTCCGTGCATGCCTATCCGCCCGTGGTCGAAACTGGTCTTCCTGCTTGTGTTTGACCTTGCGAAGCTCTGCTGGCGCATGCGTAAGAAGTGATCGCAGTAGCAGCTCAATCTCATGAAGTAAGTTCCCCTTGAACTCATTGGACATTGATCCGTTCGCCTCGTTCGCCTCTCCTATTGCGGTGCCGGGAGCGATACTATTTGTAAGAAGTTGGCTTGACACGCTACGGTCCGCATTCAATTGAGAGACGATGCGCAACAGGAAAGAAAAGGCGTCGGCTTGAATAGCGTTAAACACCTGCATGGTCAAATCCTCATTCCTAAACCCCTCCACATGTTCCAGAGATGTGTCTCGATACCGCACTTCTGCTAGAAACAATGTCCATTTGAGGCTCACGGCAGCTTTTAGCGACGTGTCCTTCCATTCCGTAGTGGGAGCAAGTTTCGCTTTAACAAAAGATACGACGGCAGCATCCTTGGTGATTGATATTCGCAGCTGCGCACTTCGCGATTCACGTTGAGAATGTGACAAGTCGAGCGAAGCGAAGAAAGCTGAAAGAATGTAAAGCGCCATTTCACTCTTAGGATTGTTTATAAGCCATTCCAGGACCTGACACAGTTCAGCTGATGCGAGGTACCCTGATCTCGCAATAAAGTAAAATGCAATAGCGAGATTGCGTCGTTCGTAGAGAAGAGACTCCAAACGAGCCTGGAGTATCGGTTGTCCAAGGTTGGCATTACCAGCTAAAAGACAAGAGTGAGTATTTTTGGAAACAATTAGATTATCTGCAAGATAAGAACTCAGTCTACCTTGTGGTCCCGGGATATTGGTTGTCGAGACTGCATTAGTGACCGCAATTCTCGCAGCTGCAATCGCCGTGTCCAAGTTGACGATTTCCACAAAAATACGGTGCGTAATCGAGCCATGTCCCGCAGTTTCGATGAGTTGTCGTCTAACGAAGTCGTTAAGGAGGGCATGAATGGGCAATGCAACTGGCTCTTCAGCTTTTGCCGCAGTTTCAAACACAAAACGCAGACAATCTGCAAGTTCGCGTCGTAGCTGATGGTATGCAAGAACGGACTGTTCAACAGCTTCGACTTTATCGATCGTCGGGTTCTTGGAAAGCACATAGTGCAGGACGGCAGCAACAAAGCGTTCCGAACAATTCACTTGCTGAGAAATGAATGCGACATGGCGAGCAAATTCGGCGTTAACTGAGAGCGATCGGCCATCCACTGTCACCTTTCCTATTGGACATGGTTATACAACGCTGGCGGCTGAGAAGTACAAGTAAAGCGTACCAGACTCAATCTCTCGTTGCTCCTCAGCGTTCCTCGGACCAAAGTCAAAGACGTTCAGAAGACGCTTTTTGTTAGACGAGAGTTCGTCAAACAGTTCTTGTTCTCCATCCTGAGAATCACCGCCAGTGAGCGTCGAGATAAGTATTGAACGCAACGACGAAATCGACTCCATGGTTTGCGCAGCGTGGCTGCGGTGGATGTCTGCCGTCGTCGTTGTTCACGTTCAAAAGTCAAGACGCGCCTCTCGCGCTTGTCCCGAATTCACGAGTACTCCATCACGTGATCTTCTCTAAGTATTCAACACTCACGCTATCTTTCTTGCCTCTTGCACGCGAAACGACAACAGCGACAGCAGAGGACAACGCCTTCTCTATCATCCGAATGATGGCACTGAACAGTATGCAGCTTGCCATTGTCGACAGTTTGCTTCCATCCAACTCTTGCTTTGCTCAGGGGTACCTTGGAACATATGGAAATCACAGCCTTTATCTCCCCTCTGTTCAGTGCGCGTACGAGAGCACAGCAGCTCTGGGAATGGATGCTGGGGACTTTATTGATGTTCCGAAGGACGCGACAACCTTGTACTGGATCGGCGAAATGGCTTTGGAAGAACAGCTTCTGCAAGAACTGAGGTCGTCCAACGCTTGGGGTTACTTGGACACCGCCCTCTCAGATGGTAGAGCCGTAGAGGATGGTCAGCAAATTTTTACAGAATCCCGCTATCGTGTTCTCTACCGGAGTCCATCTGCTTCCTTAATTGCGCTTCGAGGCCGCGTCTCTGAAGACTTTGCCATTGATACCATTCTCTCACGATATCACAAGGCCTACGCTATCAATCACCCACCTGCACCGCTTGTGCCAGTCCCTTCGAAAGATGTTGCTCGCGTACGCTCAATACTCAAAGGGCTACAGTATAACAAGACGGTTGCACGCCTTGTAGATAGCCTTTCCATTGTGCAAATGCACAAGGATATAACTTGGCTCACAGGCGAAGCGCCAGAGAGCAATATCGAAAGTCGGCATTCGTTCCACCCTGACGCTCGGAAGGCTGCGCACTGGATTGTGGAGCAAATAGAGAGCACCGGGGCAGATTGCAGACTACGTAACTTCCTCCCGGGTTTCACTCCTAATATTATCTGGTATGTATTTATTCCTCCTCGAATAATTCTAGTATTTCTAACTCCGTCTCTAGTCGATATGACGGTTCAGAAAATACCGACGCACTCGTTCTCCTGAGTGCGCACTACGACTCCCGTGGCTCCTTCGGAAATACACGCGCTCCTGGAGGCGATGATGATGGGTCAGGAACTACGTCGATCCTAGCTATGGCTCGCGCAATTGGACAGTCCGGGATTACTTTCAAATCAAATGTCGAATTGTGTCTATTTGCCGGAGAAGAGCAGGGTTTGCTGGGTTCGAGAGCGTATGCCCGTGAGTTCTCTCCCATTCACACTTAATTTCCTTGCTGAAATAGATATTGCAGGAGAACTGAGGGAAGTGAACGCAGACATCACGCTAATGATACAAGCCGATATGCTTGCATATCACAAACCCGGAGAACCTCCACAGCTGGGTCTTCCTGATTTGTGCGCGCTTTCATCCCGAAAATTCTTAATTCGTCTAACCCTCAGTTAGGATTGGCACACCAGAAGTCGCACAACTTGTTTCCAATATCTCTGCACTCTACAGCCCAGAGTTGGAAGTTGGTTTCACGCCCGCATGCTGCAGTGACCATCAGGTATGAAAATGTGTATCCTTTTTTTGCGTATAGTGGGCTCATGACGAGTTTGCAGTCCTTCCACGAGCAAGGTTTCGCCGCAACGCAAGTCTTTGAACGCGCAGGCCCGATTGCAGACCCAATGTACCACAACTCTGGTGATCTCAGCCAGCGTGAGGGATACGATTTCAGACAGCTAAAGAGCATTGTGAAAGTACAGGTAAGTACATCATGAAGTTCTTACTGATTTCAAGGTCTGACATTTCGGATGATAGTTCGCCACTCTTCTGCACGCCGCTGGCTTTGATGAACCTAACTACATTACGTCTGATTGAGTTATGTGTTTATGATCAATAATTACCAACCAGAGACTACTAGAATCACTTTGCTGAGCTGCTTTTGTCATATACATATTTCAATAGGGACGGAATTAAATGACACAGATTTCTGAATCTAAGTACTGCTATCTATTTCGAATTCGGGAAAATTATCGTTTTATTGTGCGTTGTTATCGTCTATTTACGCGTTTATATTTATCACGTGACTATTTATGACTAATATTAGACTCGATCATGCTTGGGACTCGCGTTGAACGCGTTCAGCACTTTCAGTTTCACTCCTCCATGCATCCTTTGTCTACCCTGAATCATTCATAGAATCCATACATGTATTAAGAAAATCGAACCCGCACCTACTTATGCCCGACACAAATGTAAAGCCGAAACGCCCTCCTATATCTGCGTTTGGTGAGGGAACCGTCTCAGTGGGTTGAATCCGCCAATTACTTAATCTTAAGTACTCATTCGTATTCTTTATCAGAAACGAACGCGAACTGGCGCTCATGAGAAGCCCAAACACACAGACGGAAAATTAACTAAAGCCAAATCAATAGCATCTGCTATCCGTTCTTCCGAAGATGCGTTTCGTGTGAAGCCTGTGTCTTCAGCTATGGGTGGACCGAAACCTCAGCGTCTATCCGGATTACCGCTGAATCCGAAGGAAGCCATGTCCACTTTCAAAAGGACTACAGGAACTGTAACACCTGCGGAGGATTTAGGACGTCCGAAAGCCACCTTACAAGGACCGCGACGACTACCGTTACCAGAGTCAGACACGGATTTCGCACAACCACGCAAGAAAGCACGAATCGTACCTCCAGTAGTTCATATCGAGAATCAGAATGGCATAACCACCCCATTAGTCAACCGCATCCGTCCACCAGACTTACGATCAATGTCATCGGATGTGGCAACACCCGGACGCAAGGTTGTTCCTTTTCACGCTCTGCAAGTTCCAAGTCTCGACGAAGCATCGGGCGAAACGCCGTCATCATTAAAGCCTTTACCAGCACCGAATTTCGACTTGGGAGGTCGAAGTAAGGGCAAGCTCTCCGCAATGAAAGCCTTAGAGCCGCCGATACTGGACTTGCCTGAAGAAGAGCCGAGCGACGAACATGTGGAATTGCAGAGAGGATTGCTTGTGAGCCCGGAAAAGGGAGAAAAGAGGCGAAATCGATTCGTCCGGTGAGTTACTTGTCTTTTCCAGTCCCATCAGCATGTTTTTGACTCTCGCTAGGAATGGGCTAGCTGAACGTGCACAGACTCTCATCAACCGTTCGTCGACCGCATTGACTCTTTGGAAGAAGGACATCGAACCCTTTGCATCACACTCCGAACGACTTCAAGCTGACCTACGTCTTCGCGTGAAGAGCATTATCCATGTTTCTCGGAACGCGAACTTGCACTCTCGTAATGCTGGTGCTATTCGCTCTGTCCTTGCGATATGCGCCGCACTAGATGGCCTCGAGTGCACTACTCTGTTCTCATCCTGCCACAACGATCATGATTCGAGATCACTGAAAGAGGGTTCTGAAGTCCTTGTTTGGAAGCCATGGCAAGAGACTGCTCATCCTCGTACACTTTTCTGCTCCCGATTCCTTGCGCTTCCCTCCTCAGGCTTTCCTTAAGCGCTTTGTACTGCTTTGCATCCACATATCATGTACACAATACCCATCAACCAAAATCTAATTTCGGACGCTGCAGCAATCTATGTACTATTCTCTACTCAATGCCGGATTCACATTTGTTACAATGATAGACTGTAATTTGCCATGGCCGCAGATAGCAGCCGAAGTCGGAGGCAAGGACCGAGCAGGGCGTAGGAAGCAAGGTGCCTACACCACTACGTAAGTGATCCTTGTGATGTACGTTTCTAATTGTGATGTCCTCGGCCAGATAAAAGCATATGTAACAAATGTATCAGGATCAGGAAAGGACTCCTCCCTTTCCCTTTATGTCTAGACCTCCGACTTTCTGACGTCATGTTACGAAGGCAACTGCTTGCAAAGCTGTACGTTGGAAGAGAACATTTTGCCACACGCGCATATGCATTGTCGTTCCTACGGTACTTTGCACGCTGTGCAGGATCGTTACACCATAGTAGGTACCAAAGAACCGCCTAGTCACATAGCTTCTATGCAGCGAAGCGTACTTTCCTTACTTTATTCATATCTTGAAAGGAAGACTATGGATCACGGATTTCGAGGAAAATATGGAAACTTCATTCGCCTTTCATAACCCACTTTTCCCTTCTCTTCTGTTATGTATTAATACATCATGCTACCTTTGACAGGCTCTTTCTCTATCTTCGCTTTTTTGCTCTTGCAATGTTTCATGTTACGTCAATTAACGGACGGTCGTCGCGCCAGTGTCTCTCACGCCCACTCAATGAAGTTCAAAACAAGAAGTCCGTATTCCCGAGGTGATTCCTGATGACTATTTCCAAAAGTAATAGTACAAAGTTAGCTTGTTTCATAGATTCTCTGATTCTGTCTCCATGATGTGCTGCAAAGTGCTAAAACAGTATAATTATAAAGTGAAGTTTGCTTTCTGCAGACAGGATAAGAACGAGTTCTCCTGTGTAAAGACCCCTGACATAACCTAATTACTATTTTGCGGCACTGCACGTCATTACAGCACATTGGTTTCTACTATAATGTCGGACAGCACAACAACAGGTATGAAGCAGACTTCTTTTCTGTTATAATGATAAACTGACATCACATGAAACGAAATGCTAAGGCGGATATATATACCAGAGCCTCGCAGGTCTTGTTCGAGCGTTAACAATTTTCTCAGGGCAAGGTAGTAGAGGAAATCAACTTACTCTGGAGCAAAAGAGAGAGAAGGTGCCTGAGCTAAGAGCAGCAATCAATCACTTCCTTCAAGAAATCCAGCGAAGACAGGGAGCAGGAGAGGGGGTGTATGACCCTGCATTCTGGAATAATGTTCCACAATGGCTTGAAGGAATCGACCAAAAACAGGATGCAGAGGAGCATACAGCAGCTATTATGTCACTTAATAAGGAAGCAACAAATAAATTTATCTATGAAACAGAAATGCAGTTGAAAGTTCATCGGGTTAGAATGCAGACAACGGAAGAGCAACGCTGGCAAAGACAACTCAACAAATTGGAAAAGAATCGAGACAAATATTCTCTGTACAAAGAATAGAAGGATTTCCAAGAACAAGATTAGGTTAATAATAATTCTATTACAGCTTGTAGTTTCTCTGTTGGAAATAAAGTATGACATCAATACATAAGCCAGTATATGGTGATAGAGCACTATGATTAACAAACTATATCACACATAATATCATTAACATGGCTATGCTTGTATAGCCAAAGTTCACTCTTGAATCTATTGAGTACATTGTTAGTATAGAAAAAAGCATCAGACATTATACCTTGAGACTACCAATCATAGTATACAATTCTGCTTTTCAAATTGAGCCTAATTACATTTGTTAGACTATTTTTGCAAATGCAAGTTAAATATTAGGAACTGCATATTATGAGATAGTGCCTAGTTTATATAGCACTTTGATAGGAGGTGGCTAATGATCTAAAAAGATACATATTAAGTCCAGGCAAAATCACTGTGGAAAGGAAGAGATACTAATTGTGATGTTTGGATACATGGAAGTTGAGTTGCAAGAGTTCCACCATGGAGAGGCCTCAGCTAACTAAAGAATGTATTGAGGAGTCAAATTTATGTCCTGTTAGAGGGGCATC